TTACCTGGTCTCCTCCTGACTTGCTCTTTGTTCTCCAGCTGGCCCCACCGTCTGGCTTCCTGCAGAGGGCCAGGGTTGTCAGTTACTTGGTAGCAAATCACCAGGCAATTGTCAGGACCCAGGACCTATCTGGACCTCTGGATTCTTCTGCAAAGAGAACACCTTTTCCCCTTCCCCTAGTTAATCTTGCAGTACATTGGGGAAAGGGAGGCATGCAAAATATGCGTACAAAATATTGTGGGGAAAAAACCCACTTTGTCACAATTGGCTTTCTGCCAAATCAGAACTTTCATTTACCTGAAATAATAGCTGTCCCTTTCTGCTGCAAAGATGACTTTCACAATGCAACTTTCTGCACTACAGATACGTCTTGAGTCAGGGAACCCAATCTCAACATAAGGTTTGTCTACATGGCACCATGGTCCGGACTAAAGGGTTGTGAACTGTAGAGCATCCTTACATATTGCACTCTTTAAATTCCCTATGTAATCCCTGCTGGATCGAACTAAAAGGTATCTAGCTCACCTTGATGTAGTCCCATTTCCAACAGTATTATGTTAGTGCGAACAGGATAATTTTTAGTTCATGCCAGCAGGATCTATGTGGGGCAGTTAAAGCACAACACAGTAGGGCACACTGACTGCAGTGCAGTGTAAATGAGCTTATATTGTCCCTGGTCTGTTTCAACATGGTTCCATAACTAAGCTATATTCTTAGCCTAAGTTCAGTGACCATGCTAAAGGGACATGGAGAGAAAGGGATTAGCTTGATTACAGAACATTTTTAAGCTCCATTGTACACTACAAACTGAAACAACATAGTAACCAGGTTCCTTGACATGGCTGTATTGGTAGTGTGGTTGGGCTTTTAATAAATGCAGTGCTGCTTTGCAGAAAATTCTGTCTAGGTAGGCAGCAGGCAAAGGTGTGAAATGTATTGTTGCCTAAAACTCTCTAGTTACTTATCTGTTTCAAAGCCTTGTTAGGACAATTTCACAAATACAAGTAATGAAAATGTAAGTGTCCTCACAGGGGTGAGATTCTGTCTTTAAACTCTTCTTCCAGTTTCTTTTCTGGGATGGCTTTTTGCTTTTCAGTAAGGCTTTCCCGTCACACCGCATGTGCTGGGAAGATAGTGGGATCATCGTTTTCCCATTCGTCCTTTGTAATCTCTTAATTTCTCAGTCACTTACTTGTGTAAGAGTTGAGGTTGGGCAGATGGTTCCGTTTGTGTTAAGTGTTGCTACAGCTAGATTTATTATCTGTCAAGGGGAGGCTTCACACACTATCTCTGAAGGAACTCAAATGTGAAATTGCAGAACTACTAACTGTAGTCTGTAACCTATCATTTAAATCAGCTTCTGTACCAAATTACTGGAGGATAGCTAATGTGATGCCAATTTTTAAAAAGGGCTCCAGAGGTAATCCCAGCAATTACAGGCCTGTAAGCCTGACTTCAGTACTGGGCAAACTGGTTGAAACTATACTAAAGAACAATATAGATAAACATAATTTGTTGAGGAAGAGTCAACATGGTTTTAGTAAAGGGAAATCATGCCTCACCAATCTACTAGAATTCTTTGAGGGGGTCAACAAGCATGTGGACCAAGGGGATCCAGTGGATATAGTGTACTTAGATTTTCAGAAAGCCTTTGACAAGGTCCCTCACCAAAGGCTCTTACGCAAAGTAAGCTGCCACAGGATAAGAGGGAAGGTGCTCTCATGGATTGGTAACTGGTTAAAAGATAGGAAACAAAGGGTAGGTATAAATGGTCAGTTTTCAGAATGGAGAGAGGTAAATAGCGGTGTCCCCCAGGGGTCTGTTCAACATATTCATAAATGATCTAGAAAAAGGGGCAAACAGTGAGGTCGCAAAATTTGCAGATGATACAAAATTACTAAAGATAGTTAAGACCAAGACAGACTTCAAAGAGCTACAAAAGGATCTCTCAAAACTGGGTGACTGGGCAACAAAATGGCAGATGACATTTAATGCTGGTAAATGCAAAGTAATGAACATTGGAAAGCATAATCCCAACTATACATATAAAACGATGGGGTCTAAATTAGCTGCTACCACTCAAGAAAGAGATCTTGGAGTCATTGTGGATAGTTCTCTGAAAACATCCACTCAATGTGCAACGGTAGTCAAAAAAGCAAACAGAATGCTGGGAATAATTAAGAAAGGGATAGATAATAGGACAGAAAATATCATGTTGCTTCTATATAAATCCATGGTATGCCCACATCTTGAATACTGTGTGCAGATGTGGTTGCCCCATCTCAAAAAAGATATATTGGAATTGGAAAAGGTTCGGAAAAGGGAAACAATTATTAGGGGTATGGAACAGCTTCCGTATGAGGAGAGACTAATAAGACTGGGACTTTTCAGCTTGGAAAAGAGATGGCTAAGGGGAGATATGATTGAGGTCTATAAGATCATGACTGGTGTACAGAAAGTAGATAAGGAAGTGTTGTTTACTACTTCTCATAACACACGAACTAGGGGTCATCAAATGAAATTAATAGGCAGCAGGTTTAAAACAAAAGGAAGTATTTCTTCACGCCGTGCACAGTCAACCTGTGGAACTCCTTGCCAGAGGATGTTGTGAAGGCCAAGACCATAACCGGGTTCAAAAAAGAACTAGATAAATTCATGGAGGATAGGTCCATCAATGGCTATTAGCCAGGATGGGCAGGAATGGCGTCCCTAGCCTCTGTTTACCAGAAGCTGGGAATGAGCGACAGGGGTGGATCACTTGATGATTGCCTGTTCTGTTCATTCCCTCTGGGGCACCTGGCACTGACCACTGTCAGAAGACAGGGTACTAGGCTAGATGGACCTTTGGTCTGACCCAGTAGGGCCATTCTTATGCTCTCATAATTACAAACCTTTAGAAATGTCCAATCTCTCAAGTCCTGTCTATGTTGGGCTCCCAGCAGAGTTAAGCAACTGTGGTTTAAAGAGGGCTTCTGCTAAATTGCTTTCTAGCAGGATGTTTCCTTCGTCCAGTGTGCACCATGTTTAAACATTGGTTTGATCCAGCCATACTGATTAGCCAAACCCAACCTTAGAATGGACTAATTTGCACCAAATGACAAGAATTTTCAGACTCTCAAGAGGGTAGATACACCCAGTCCTTCTACAGACACTTCACCTCCACTCCCAATTTCAAATGACACAAGTTAAATACTATTTTATGCTATCAATAGAGTTATATTTTTACCAGGAAGTCCTAAATATTTCCAGCAAAGTTCAGTTTCATATGTTGTTTTGCTGAGCGGTATTGCCTCCTCTCTGGCTGAGGAAGACATTTTTGTTTAAATAGGAAGACAAGTTAATAGGCCCTCTAGCCCTCCTCTATGAAAGAATGTGCAGTCCTGGTCCCTGTGGTTTATCAAAAGCTTTTGGTGTCGGAGCCTTACGTTAAAATACTGACAAGCATGTCACTGTGAAATGTAGAGTTCTCAATAAGCTGGTATTCAAGTTGTATTCCTATTCTGAGTAGTACTGTAAAAGGTCACATAGCAAGAAGTAAATTTATGAATTATAATTCAGGTCAACTTCAAATCCATTCTGGGATGCCTGTTCTCACTTGAAAAGTGATGTTTGTGACACACACAGTATAGGGGTCCATTATCAGGAACAGCTTATTTCCTGCACTTTTATAGGTCAAACTGTCTGAAAGATGTGACACATCACTGTTTAAACTTACCACAGACTAACAAATTAGCAATGGCAAAACCCATGAGATCATCTTGTCCATCTCCTGTGCCAATATAAAATTTTCTCTACAGTGTGTCTCTAGTGCTTCATTTGGCTTTAAATGAGGCTTCCACAATTTCTTTTGGCAAATGGTCTAATTGATCTCACTTTTACAAAATCTTTCCTGATTCATTCTAAGTTCCCTCTGATTACATTCATCCCATCACTCCTCTGATTTGACACTGGGAAACAATAATTTTATTCAAATTATTGTACTGGTGTTGGAATCTGGCTTCCAGTTTCAGACATTGCTGATCCTACTGCCAGAGGGTGTCAGGTGGTTTACAAATGCAGTCTGTTTTAAATGTAAGCTGAAATATACATACATTGTACAAAACTCAAAACACATTTCATCCTGTGAAATTTCATTATACTACACTAAGCCAAAAGGGTGTAGTAGTTTTAAGATAGTGTTCAGGGTACTTTTATTCTTGGTGTATGCAGTAAGATGATGTATTTTAAGAGCATGTGAACTTATTGCATTAGTTCCTGAGGAATGAATTTGTAAAACTTGTGAACTGTAAAACTTGTTCAATGTGTAAAAACTCTCTGTCCTACCTGGCACAACGCTCCTTCTTTGCTCCTTGCACAAGAGTAGACAGCCAGGAAGAAACCTCGAATTGCTTCCAAATGTTCACTGCTTGGGCTTGGATGAGGCCCCCACATTTTGTTAACATCAAGAATTTGCTAAGCTGGCTGTTCTTGGCAAATCATTTTGTTCTGGCTGGACTGGTTCATGCTAATTTTGTTTTATGATGTCATCCCCTACCCCCATCTTAGTTCATAAGAAAAATATGTCTCAAGCCAGAGACCAAAGCAAGAATGGTTTAACTTTTCTTGCACATTTTTATGGCTATTATAATTGCTGTTGAAATTGATGATGGTTCTAAACTACACTTTACCATATGATTTTTCTTCCATATGTTTTAGAACATAGTTTCAAGATTCCATCCAAATCCCACAAAATGAAACTGTTACTCTTTCTTGACTATCTCTATAGAAAATGCCTGAGTGACAAAGATTCATGCTTTGTATTACTGTGATGATGTCAACCCTTTTGACTTTTGTAACATTTTTTTTCACTGTGGCGAATCTGTAATAATGCTTTCTCCTCAGTGTATTGCCTCATATTTCCTGACTGATTTTACTCATTCTGTCAGAAAGTGGTAATATTGCTGTTGTATTCTGCATCCTTTGACGATGTGGCTGTAATTAACTGTTTTATTTCTTTCTAGTGTTGTTCCACTTTTAAGAGAGTCCATCGGAATCTTAATGCAGCGAACGCCACCTTCCCTGGAAAGTGCCCTGCCTCAGTGCTATCAGAGGGTGAGCTGTTCCAGTTCAGGACATTTTTGCATAAGACTTAACTATTAAATGAATAAGCAACATACGTTTGGACTTCTAGGGGGTGTTTCGTGTCACAAAGTGGTGTAAGCCTAATGTGCATATTAGAGAGCAGTATAATAGAAATTTCACAGGAAGGCCAGTTGGATCACTGTCTGTAGAATTTGCTTGTTCTCCAGTTCTGAACTGATGTTCAGCAGCCATTGCTAAAGATCCTTTTTCTATTCAAAGGAATATTTTTTTCTCCCTCTCTGGAGCAGTTACCTTAACCTTTCGTAAGAAGTGTTGAGGCATATTAAAAACATTGGAAGTAAATACAAAAGGAAGGTTATAGTTTGCATTTGGCATTGTGTCCCTGATACCTATACAGTACTGAATGTGTTGCATACATTTCATGTCTCTTATGGAATGCTAGCATGATGCATGTACCAAAGAAATGTCCCTGTTTTTCCCCCCAGTGGTTTATGGGGTTGCTGCGTAGCACTAAACATCTCACAAAAAGAATTCCTGGTTGAGATGAGAAGTGGGTGCATCTTACACACCCTGAAATAACTGTACATGTGTGGGATGGGAGTGAAGAACACCAGGTTCCAGTGAAGGGAATGTGTAATACAACTGTAGCCTAGTGCAGCAGTTGTGTGGATATGTAATAGAACTGTTCTCAGCCTTTCCACTTAACTCTCTCCTTCTCAGACCTATGAAGACAAAAGTACTAACTAATTTAGATGAGACCTCACTAAATGCTCTTGTGAAGATGAGAGTATTGCCTGACATTTTTATTAGCTATTTGCTAGTCTGTAGTAATGTATTTTTTTTCAGAAATCATTTTTGAAATGTCTGTCATCGGTATTTTAGGTTCAGCAGTTGCAAGGAGTTTACAGTTTACATGATCCACACTTCTGGACCCTTTGTAGTGACGTTTACATAGGGACCTTGAAACTATTTGTAGCTCCTGATGCTGACGCCAAGTGGATTCTAAGCCAAACTCACAATATTTTTACTCAGGTATGTCTGCCTGCTTACAGTAGCATGCTTGGATACCATGGTGATGTGTGTGATAGAGAAAACATGGATGTAAATATAAAAATAGAGCAACAAAATGTTTATAAAAGTAACAGCTCTGCGTTCTGTCTTTAACACCAAACACTGTTGTTGTTTAACTTATGATTAACTCCAGCTACCAGAAGCAGGATGGTTAAACTGAAACCTGTTCGATATATGTGGCCCATTCCTCTTCATCAGTCTCTTTACTGCCTCTTAAAGGGAGACATGACATCAGAATGCTGTAGTCTTAGAGGTGCATTGAAGCCTTATGTTGATGTACCAGGGACCAAGAAAACCGATGAGGCTTTCAAGATAAGATGTCTGACCACAGAGACTAACCCTACTTCTGCATCCACTGTGATGCCTCTGTATTGTCATTCACTTCTGTTGCTCTGAGAAGCCACATTTTCTGCATGCTTTGTTGCCTTTAGCAACTTCCAGGCAGTGGTGGCCACTAAAGTCAACATTTACCAACCATTACCACATGCTGGTTTGAGATCATTGCATTTCCTCTTTTCTTAGACTAAGAACTAACTTCTGTATCTTAAGCTGTATGGTAAAAGTGGTTCCAGCTGAGGTTAGACTACAAAATCAATACAGACCACACGGGCACTTCATTAGAAATTGATATTGTCTGGTTAAAGGAAGAGAAATCAACAACCAAAGCCAGTTTTTCTATCACTAACTGATGCATTAAAAGGAAAGGCAATGAGATTCAGTTGGCTGTCTATAGCTAAGATCTGAAGTCCGTAACAAATGATGCCACAATTAAAAAAAAAAATTAATGGTATCTGCTGCATTTACTCTTAACAAACTACATTTCATCTTGTTATATCCAACCTGTAAGGCACAAGACATCTTACCTTGACCAGGATCTGACACTCAAATGTTACAAGGTGCTGTATACCATTGTTCTCAAAATGGTAAATATCTGGGCAGTTGAAATAATATAGAGCTCCAATGTTTCCTCTTCCCTGATTTCACTCTAATGAACTAGAAAGTTTTCTCCAGACAAAAAGAGATCTTTTGCATGTTGTTTCATGAATAAAAGCTAAGATACTTATCCCTCTCTGTTCTGTAGCTTCCAAAGAATCCAGGCTTGTACCCTGTTTTTGACTCTTGGAAGTGAACAGGTACATAGAGATGCAGTTTCTGGATAGACTTCCCATGTATCACTGTCAGACTAAGAGCCATCCTATGTTTGGTCCGTTGGAAGGATGCCTTCCTTAAGATACCTGTGCCTCACCAATACAGGAAATTCTTAGATTGTAGAATTGTAGATGATGAGTAGCATCAGTTCAGCTCTGAATTGGCCTCTGCCTGTACATATTCCCCAGAGTTAACTCTATTCTAGAATTCATCAAATTTGAGTAGCATTGTTTGAAAAGTTCAGATAGGAACTTACATGTACTTCTTTGTCTCCACACTGTTTTACTTAAGAGTGCACAGTGCATCTGCATTAAATGGAGGCTTTAATTCCAAAAGTTGACCCTATGCAAGACTGAGGTGATGCAGACAGGAAGATGGGAATGCTTCCAAGAACTTGCTTTCTCTGTACATCTCTCACAGTGAAGGGCATCTGCGCTCAGATTTTTGATTCACCAATTTGCACTTATATGCCTAACTAGTCATGGTAGCAGAAAACGCAATCCTGATGTGAAGCTCAGTGCAAAACTCATTTATTTGGCTTAAGCTTTTCTGCAAAAAAAGTTCTGTGCAGGGAACACACGTGCACCTTTGAAAACAAAGTTGTAAACTAGCCAAGTTACTTCTGTTACAAGGCATGAAGAAAGTAAGGGATTGTTGTAATGTCTAGTCTTAAATCCTTGCGATGCACTCAGAAGCACCGTGATAGTGGGGAGAGGGAGATAGCAGCATATAAATACCTAGGTAAATAGTAAGGGATGAAACCTTTTATACATGGGCTTCAAACTTAATTTACCTTTCAGTTGTTGCATACTTTTTCTTGCCCTGTTTTCTAACTATTGGAGGTTTAATAAAATATTGTCAGATTATTACAAAAGTGGTGATATTCAATATGTGACACAACATTACATGATAATGAACTGATGATCCCATAAACCTAGGATTAACTTCAATGAGATCAGCAACAGAGAGAGACAAGATGATGAAGGGAGTTTTATTCGAGCCCAAATATTTATAATGTCAGCAAGGAAAACAGGAATTGCCTGGGTCAGTTAAAAAGGTGTTTGTAGAAATGTTCTTTTCAGAATGTGCTCCGGTGGGAAAGTGTTAGCTCTGTCCTTATATCTGGTCCTGGATACCACATTGGCAGCAGCCTCATTTATGGTGCAACAAATTGTTTGTACATCTGGTGATGTTTTCGATTACCAGACTAGACAAAGCTCTTGGGTCCTTGGGAATTCTTTCTATGAGCTACAATAAATCCCAACTAGGACCTCTTCCTTTGAATTCTGTTTCTAATGCATATAGCATAACTAGTCCCTTGGGCCTGACTACACATGAAGCAGATGCACTGCCTGAATAACTTTGTCATCTGTAAATTTTGCTACCTCATTACTCACTCTACTTTCCAGGTCACTTAATTTGTCTTTTTATTATGGGGCCCATAATAAAATGTCTGAATCTGCTCAATAATATTTAATTTTACTATCTGGTTATGTTCAGGTTTTTACCTTCTATTACTTGGTGCTGCAGACACTTTCTGTAGTGCATGTATTTAGGCAACACATTGGTACCTCTATCGGCACTGCCTCCATTTTTAGTGAAAAGATGCTTTTGAAGTCTTTGCTGCACTGAACCAACTTAAAGAATCCTGAACCAGGTGAACTTGAGGAGCCAGTAAAAATAAATGCTTATTAATATTAGTTCCTTGCTTTCTAGCTTGTATGTTGGAACATAAAGAGGTTGTGCACTGATTTCAAGACGACCTCCTAGAATCACGCTTATAAATAAATCTGTCCTGTCTGAGAATCTAGTTCAGTAAATAACTAGGAGGCCGCAGGCGCGTTTTGTACAACAAAACAGCTAATGGGTTGGACAGTTCAGTGTGAAGATGGCTTATATATGTGGGAGGGCTGATTCTTGGGAAGGCTAGCTTGGCTTTGGGGGCAGTCTGTTTGGATGGACAGACTTGTAATTATTTTGTCATCTCAAATCTCTTGAATCTCCAGTGAAAAAGATTATTTTGCTAGCAAGACGTCAACTATTCTATATGTTCATTCTAGGGGTTGGTATCAAATGGACTTAGGAGAAAGGATACATCTTCCTTCCCTTTTGATATGTGGGAGTAGGTGAAGGTACAGTTGGAGCAAGCATATTTTGAGCAGTAGTGGAGATCATAGTTCTTAAAGTTGTAATTTGGCAGGTTAGTCAAAGTGACCTCGGACGTTCAGTATTCATTATTGCTGAAACAAAGTCCACTGCACTTCAGGGACCCAGACAAGTTATGTTTTCTCGAGTGTGGTTCTGTTCCTAAAGACTCAAGTCAAGTGATTCCAAAGTATGGCACATCTGTGACTGAGGGCTTGTCTGAGTCATACCAGTATAAGGTAAGGTATCCATTTCAACTGCTATAACACTCTCTGTGTGGACATTTTATTCCAGAGTAAATATGGCTTTTTCTGGTTTAGTTTATGCCACTTTGGAAGTAGTTTAAGCTAACCAGCAAAAAGCTACTCTTGTCCACACGGTGACTAGATCAGTTTAACTATACTGGTATAACTTCCTATGTAGACAAGTCCTGAGAGGCAGATGTGGATGTTTTGATTATTTGCATGGAAGCTTAGAATTTTTTGTGTAGAACTTGAGCTCAGTAAAAGTTGTCTTCCACTACCGTAGTCATCTAAGTGCCTAGTTGACATTAATCTGATTCTCAGCAATGTGTTCTCAGTCAGACTATTTTTATTATCTTTCTCCTGAAGATGATTCTGCATAATGAACTACGTGCACCACTTTTGCAGCTAGCAGCCTGACTTTAAGGGTTAATAGTCTCTTAAATAATTTACTCATAATTTTATATACAATGATGGCAGAACTAAGGGCATTCCCTAAATTTAATCTCTTGAGATTTTTGAGCAGAGGGGTGATTTGCAATTTATGTGCCCATAGAGTATTACCAAAAGTTATTTTGGTGTTTCACATAAATACACCATTGCCATGCCTGTCTTCTCTACAAATCCCTATTATGCTGAAGGACCGTTTCATAGCTCAAACTGTCACATCCTTATGCTTTGCTTCACTTGAACTGGCATCTGTTCTAAGGGTTAAAAACACACATTAGACTTTTTAAAAATTTGTCACGTGATCTTTAGATTGTGGTTGAAGAACTTGTGCTTTAAGATAAGCTTTTTTTAAACATTGTAGAAGCCCTACACATCTTTAACTCATGCACTAAGTTTAGTAGAATCATTACTATAGAACAAGCTATTAAGTAGATTTGTTTGTTCACCAAATAAAAATGTGTAAGTATAATAGCATTTGGAACTGGGATACAGTTGTGTGGGTCATGATTGTTCAGTTTTCTAATTCTCCCTCTTTTTTGTTATAGGCAGGAGTCAGACAGCTTTATGTACAGATTGACTTTGCAGCCATGTAGTGAACATCATAAATTGAGTTCTTTGGACCAAAGTTTTCTGGTACTGTAATGGTATAAAACATTGTACTCTTCAAGACAGAGCCACCGCCACCCCAGTTAACCAAGACCAAATAGACTGCTGCCTTTTGGCTACTTCTAGAGTTCATGTTTAAGGAGTAAAAACTGAAAGGATATGTCCTGGACTTCTGGTCTTGTCTTTTGTGGCCCCCAAACTTTTTTTCTTTTTTTTTTTTTTTTACTTACTACAATTGTTCCAACAGGAAACTAAGATTGTGGGACTGCAATTCCTGTCATGTCTTTAATGAAGGGCTTGTCTAAACAAAAATTAGTTCATAGCAAGCTGGGGAGTGAATCTACTCTGCGTTAGCCTGCTGCAGACTAACTGCCCATGCAGGGCCGGCTCCAAGCTCCCCACGCGCAACAAAACAAAAAAAAAAAACCCACCCCCCCCCGGCCGCCGCCCCCACCGCCCCCCCCCCCGCGGTGACGCGGGAGTGAGGGACCTGCCACCCCCGAATTGCCGCAGGTGCCGCCCCTCTCCCTTGGCCGCCCCAAGCACCTGCTTGTTAAGCTGGTGCCTGGAGCCGGCCCTGTGCCCATGTGGCCCCTGTCTTTATGTATTAACGGTTTGTTAGTGCACTTTGATCTAGTCCTGTTCTAAAGAGGACTAGATCTAAGCATATGTCAGCAGGGTCCACATCGACAGTTAGTCTTTAGCAGGCTAGCACTGAGTAGATTCACACCCCAGCTTGCCGCAAACTAAATGTTCACATAAACAAGCCTGAAAGCTGCTCATTCCCACAAAACCAGTGTTATCAAAAATTGGAGAGCGGTCTTGTACATAATGTCACAATGGGTGGCATTCTTCATTATAATCGTATGTTTGTAAAATTGTTTGTACTTTGCAAACTTAATGAACCAAACCATATTGGGTTTTCAAAGTGCCTTTATATCAGAAAAAGTATTTGCCAGCATCAACATGGAACATGAAGGGTTTTTATTACTTTTATGGCTACAGCTTGTTCACAATCTTCTTGCTAGTGATGTATGTGACTGTGTACTTGCATAATTGTAGATTTTAGACTCCCTTTTACTGTTGCATCTTATCAAATGAACTGGAGTTAAATTTGTTTACTTTACATTACAAGTTAAAGCTATTGTGGGGAAACTTGCTTTCAAAACATCTGTCTATTTGCTATATATATATTGTCCTAAGAGTTGTTTTAACCGAATTAAACATTCAACCCTGGCTCTAAGTCTATGAATGAAAGTTTCTCAATACTGTTATAGTAATTGGAAATTGTATTGCAATAACCATGTTCATAAAGTCACCATGCAAAAGAGAAAGGCAGTTGCAGCATAATGATAGTAATGGAAGAGCTGTTTTGCTTTTATCTTTCAAATACGACTTAATCTTTTTTCTGTCGAAGCTTTGCTGTGAAAATTAGTCTACTAGGTTTTAATAGACTATTAAAGAGGTTGGAAGTAGTTACTATGTTTAACTAAACTGGGAGAAGAGGGGAGAGGAGCTCTTCCTGGCAAATGTATCTGCAGTGGAAACGAGGACTATTGGATGTGCTATGTAAGGTCACATTCTCTTAGTTGACATATTGATTCTGACATGAGCATGATCTCTTATCAATGTCTTGTATGTGTTCACACACACACACACACACACACACACACACTGTTCACAGAGCGCTTTCCAGAAACACCCATAGACCATATTTTTACTGGCATTCATATTAATTTACATTTTGAACTCAAAGTGAATGTTAAATTCCTGAGACAATCCTACAACACCTGTACTGTAGATGCAATGCTTCCACTAAAATTTACTACAATTATCAGTGCAAAATTACTGTAGTCTTTCATTCTGTTTGAATTCAGAGACTGAACAGTAAAGATCCCACAAATGTATCTTTGATTTCCACATTTGAAGCTGTTGGTTAGTCTGACTAGGGACTAGGACATAGAGCAAGAAAAAGGAAGTCTCCTTTTTATTAATCGGAAATATGAGGGGTAACTTGTGAATTAATAAATTTACACTTAATGTACAGTGTTTAGTGGAGTAAAACAAGACAAGGATGCTTACTAGAAAAATCAAATGTGCTGCTGACTGGTATGAATTCTAAGTATTTTTCTGATGCAAATATCAGTGTCCTTGTAACTGATTAAATACCCAGTAATGGGTAGTACTAAAATCAAGGAGTGTTGTAGTTCTAATCGGTTCAACTTTAGTCACAGTTGATGAGCATTGAGTATGATAGACAGAAATACCTAAGATTGAATTGCAGGGATGGTTTGTATAGTGCAATGTTTGCTGCAGATGTTACTGCATTATTGCAATTTGCCTATTACATGGATAAGCAGCTTCTTAAATTCAGTTTTATTCCTCCTGTATGACTCACTCTGTATTTTTATATATATAAATGCTGCTCAATTGCTAGTCTGTGCCTTGAGTTGAGCTCACCAGATTGATGCAGATATACGAGTGCTGAATGAACTAATAATTTTTAATGTGTACAAAGTTGTGATTCAAACCCCAAGGTAAGACCTCTTCCATGGCTTCTGTAATATCATGCACATACATGGACTGTGGGTATTGTCTTTTGTTTGGGAGGTCTTTAACACAGGCAATAATGCAACAATCCGCTAATCTTAAGGATGGTGGTCTCCATCACTTTGAACCACCATTTTAAAAAGAAGACCCAGCCTCTTTCACCTAAATTGTACAAGCTATAACCTCAAACTGACTTTTTGGGGTGATTATGCCTTCCAGACTTACAGCTTTGATTTGTTTCTGGGCTGCTGAGCTAAGCTTCCTAATCATCTTAAAATACCTTTAACACTAGCCAAATCATTGGGGTAAGCTGCTTATTGTGAATGTTTTAGCTGAATGTTAGTGGGATGCTTTTTCAGTTGCTGTGACTTGCTAAATGTCTTACTGCAAGTGAGCAATTGCTTGGATGTTAGTTTTTTTTTTTTTCCTTGTGTATTTTAAAAGGACTCAGCATTGTCATATGGCTAATCTTCCTTGCCAAGACCAGTATTTGACAGCATAATCCATTTTCTGCACACTGACCTTTAATGAAAATTGCTCTTTAAACTACTTGTAACAAAGATTAAATTTCTTTCTTGCCTAGGAAGATCTTTGAGACTCTTGGGGGAAAAAAATCAGGCCTATGGTGTCTTGCTCATGAGAAATGCACATATTTTTACAATCAAGATGAGTCTTAATCATGTTTGGGATGATTTTACATTTTATAGCAAGATGTACATAACTACCCCACATTTGTTTTTGTAAACTGTAATTTAAATGTGGTGATAGTGTATGGAAACAGTTGTTTGCTGTTGAGCAACAGGATTGTGTTGTCATTTCAAGTACGTGACTTTTTGGCTGAGTAGATTAATTTTAAAAGAATGTGCGAGTAAATTGGTCAAAAGACAGTAGATGGCATACCCTGCATTTTAAGTTGGTGTAAATTTACTCCTGTAGCATGAAGTCCAAACAGCATTGGTTGGGTAGCTCTCATGCTATTGCTTGGGCAGCATAGAGGCCAACAAATGCATTATGTGCCTTCCGGATGCTCTGTCCTGAGCTAACTCTGGTCCATTATGGGGTAGGATGCGTGTGAGGGACAGGTGTCAGGCTGTCCAGCCGTCGTGTTTTAGGTCTTCCAGGAAGTCTTTCACCCTGCTTCCAAACAGCATAGCAACATTTAATTTTTTTCACCTACTAATGAACTACTAGGTGAGCTGGAATTATTGAAGACTGTAGATCATGTGACTAATATAAACCCCTGAATGTTGAACCATCAAGGACTACTTACAACTGTTTTGTTTCAGATGACACTAGATTCTGCTTCTAATATACTAATGGAGGTGTTAGTAATCTCTTAACTTCATCCTGAATCCCTGCAGAAGATGGTCTATTTTAAGAGTGATGGGGAGGGGAGACCTGCTAAATTTCATTTTCTAATTGACAAACCTGATAACGATCAAAATCTCATCTAACTCTCTATGAAGACATAACAGCAAGGTGCTACAGTGAATCTCATTACTAGAACTGTGTATAAGATTACTACCTACAATGTTGCTTGGCATTGAACATACTATGACGGAAAACAGGCCTTCCGTTGGAGTTTACAATTTGATCCTATAAACAGTTAAACATGAATAAAGTTGCACACTGTGTGTGAGTGGGCCTCAAGTGAGGAGCTTAAGTAAATCTAGTATCCTTGCTACACTATGGGTTAAACTAGTATAAAAAATAAGCATGTCAGAATAATTGAACCTAGTACTTCAGACTAACACGGCTACCCCTCTGATACTTTTTTGTAATGCACTATTGCAGTAATCTGTATTTGATCTTCCAGTCATTAACCTGTGAAATTTTAAAATCTAAAATGTTTGACAGGCTGCCTGTCTATTATCAGAATCCAGAATTCTAACTCAGAGGTGGAAGCTAGTGCTACTGAGTAAGGTTAACTATTTTAACTATATTTGAGGTTATTATTTGTTTTACTTTTAATTTTTAAGAATTAAAAATCTGAGTAGAGAAGGGAGGAAGGAAATACTCACCAGTTCAGTACAGATGCTAGCTATCAATGTGTTGTGGGGATGCAAATGAGATACCTGGAGAAGTTGCTGTTGAATAGCATTGTTCCTCAATATTATATATATACCTTTCACCTATTAAGATAAATTGCTTAATAGAACTTACAAGGAAGACAGATCAATGCACGTCTCGGTGTACCTTCACACCCACTGACTTATGGTACTGCATAATTCAGATGTCATATGAGACCCTGAGGATTGTATGAAATAGAAAATGGATTTTAAAGATGTTGAATTTGTATTAAATAGGCATGAGAATCCTAAAATACATCTAAGATTGTTTTAATACCAGTTCAGATCAGCATCTTTATTCATGAACAACCTTGTCCTGTTTTCTTCAGTTAGCTTTTATGATTGTATTTGGTATGACAGCTGATTTTTTTTTATTAAACTGTGACACTTTTAGATGTTAAAGGAATAATATAAGATACAGAGGAGCTTCTTCAACCCAGTTCTCTCAGTGTTAATACTGGTTTTGCAAAACCAAAATATGATGGTCTCAGACCCTACCTTAATAGGATGCTGCATTGCATACAATAGAACCACCCACTCCTGCAGTGGTTAATTCCCTCTACCCCCAAGACCATGGATCCTCTTTCTGCTTTTTATTTTTATTTTACTCCCCTTTTCCTCAAAGCCCTTGTGTTGGTGACCTCCATGTCTGGTCTTCACAGGCAGGAGGTTGTTATAGTACCTTGTCAAAAGATGCAGGTCATTCTCCTAGGATCTGCTAGCAACTGAAATATTTATTCATCTCTCAATATGTGCAAATGCAGAATAATCTACCTTTCAGGTTTAGTGAGCCACACTTCAAGTGTAAGTTCCTGCCTATGGGGTATCTTTACTCTGCACACAATGTTTGGCAGAAGCACTGTTGTGTAAAAGAATTTGCATATTTCACTTCCCACATATACAAAAAACCTTGATGGTAATATGTGCCAGGATCTAGTTCAAGAGTTGAAATTAGTAGCTACCGAGGGGGCTGGCTAGCACATGAAGGAATGTGAATGGAAAAAATTGCCAAAACCATTCCTAGCAGCAACACAGTACTGTTTGCACCTTTCCAGTTAATTTTCAAATACATGAAGTACTCTTATTGGTGTGCTTAAATTTAATAGTGTGGTATTAGAACATCTATAAATAAATGTTTGAGTAGGAAACTGCTGATTCTAAATAAAATTGTGGAGACGCTATACTATAACTTGGTTGGGGGGTGCTGAAGTTAAGCCATTATGACTTGCCCCAAGTGCAATATTAAAAATTTTGATGTAATCTTTTTTCTACTTGAATGGTTTAAGTAAAACGTTTCATCTGATGTATTTGAAAAAGATTTGGGATCAAATTTCCTTTCAATAAAACTTGGTTTAAAAAAAACCCTGCATGTGTATTTTCTGATTTGACTAGCTGGCAAGTAAGGATCTTGAAAGTCCATGTTGTAGAGCTGATTTTTGAAGAACTACCTCCCAACCTGTGGCACAAACCATGTGGCTTCTTCTATTTCCTGCCATTTTCAGGTGATTAACAGTTACCACTTCAACAGATTCCTAGACTGCAACGTTCTCACCTTTATTCCCTTTTCTAAGGTAGGGTTTATGGACAGGCCTGGCTGTTTCCCATAACCCCCAGTTAATTTCTTTCCACATTCATTTCCCCAATTGCACACAATAGGCCAGATTAATTACATCTTTGAGTGCTACGGTAGCCCAAACCCTTACACAGCTACTTGGATGGCCCTGGCATAGGTGATTCCTTGGTGGTATAATAGGACAGGAGCTAAGCACAGCAGTTTTCCAGAGCACTGATCCTGTTTTCTCCCTCATTTGGAGAATGTGGTACAGGCCCGCCTTGTCATAGTGGGACAGTGCACATGGTGTAGAGTGCACAGAGCTATTCCCCCCCCCCACACACACACACATAACCAGTTCATCTTGCTCAGGTTCATCTGAACTTCCCTCTGCACTGCCCAATGAGAGGCCATTCCTCCCCTCCAGGGGTAGGTCTTCTGGCATTCATGATGCCCCTAGGAAGGGGAAGCGTCTCACCATGATGAGTTCAAACCTGTGAAACCTTCCTGAAAAGCGATCCTGAAACCAGCAGGACACTTTCCTTGCAGTTCCATGTCTTCATCTGCAGAGTATGTGAACTCATGTTAGAGGGAATGTTTATGCTCCCATAATGTTGTAGGTTGCAGAGTATAAGTCCACTTATGCTGTTTGTATGCTTAAAGTAAGGATGGAAAAACTAAATTTTAAAAATTGCCACAAAGCAGGGGCCAGGTAAAGGCTCTTTATTCAAGTGTTCCTTTGACATTCATTGTCTTCAAAGCTAGATTCATCCACAGCACAGAGCTTAAGCATATCTATTTCCAGAGGATGCATATTGCCTGCTATGATCATGGAATGGAGTGGGCCACCTAGTTCTACTGTGGACATCTGTTGTAAGGTGCCCGAAGCAATTTTCTGATCCACGGCACCCACCCTTGCTAGGCCAACACAGAGTGTGTTCTCCGTAACTTCTACAAAAAAGAAAATGCAATTTCAGGAAATAATTCATCTTTCATTTTCTAGAGAGTAAATTCAATCTCTTTACTGAGCAGTATTTGCTTCACTGAAAGTAATGATTGTACGTTACATTTACAAAAGCATTGAATCTCAAGTTTCCAGTCTCTGATTTTAATCTAACACTTTAAAGCCAGGAGTTTTGTTGCAAAGTGAGATGGAATTCTGTTATTTGAGGAGATAGAGTACTCTAAGCTACATGCTGACAGTAGTTAGAATGGGCTGTGGCAAATACACAATAGAGGGGAGTTAGTTCCCTTCTCCATGTGAGTCCTCCTTTCAGTCAGTGCCAGTAGCAGGATATTGGTCTAGGTGAGAAGACTACCTTACTTCGCACCCCTACTTCCAGACCTCAGCAGAGAGAAGTAAACTACTAAAGGAATAATGGTGGAGATTTGCTCTAAAATGTTGTCTTGTAAATAAAAATCAAACCAAATGTTAATAGAAATACAAGTGAATGAAGGTGGGGTTTGTTTTAGCTCTGCTCTCCGTAGTAGTACAAAGGTGAAGTAGCTACCTAATATATAGGCATGGTAGAATTTGATTTTTTTTATAACTGACATACCAATAGTAGTTTAAGCATTTTCTCCAATTTTTAGAGTTTACAAAATTGTGGGTTTTAAACTTTTTTTTTATCTATTTAAAATTTTGTGGGGAGTGTCTGACAGTTGATGCCAAGATTCAAAAACTGAAAGCTTTAACTTCACACTGTCAACATATGTCAAAATATACACTGTAAATATTTTTAAATCAAACTACCTTCAAGCAGCATTTTTCTTTATCTGTAAATTGACAATGTAACTGTCAGCTTGTGTGTGTATATGATGAAAAAGACATCTACCAACAAATCTAATTCTTCCAAGCCTACTTATATAAATGGAATTAATCTGAATTTACCCTGGGATAAATAAGAATTTGGCCAATAACCAGTGAAGTGACTTAAGTGTCTATCATATGAAAATCTGGAAGTACAATTGTCTAAGGCATTCATAGTACAGTTAAAGGGAAACTCAATGTTAAAATATTCTAACAGTTCTAAAAACCGGTGTAAATAATCACTCCATTCTGATCCATTCAAACAGCTTCCCCTTGTTTAATCTGATGGACCCAACGGAAAGATGAATGGTAGCACTGGTTCTCAAACTATGGTAACTGTACCAGTTGAACAAGACTAAAGACCTTGACTATACCTCCAGGAATCACTAACTTCCATTCACCTGTGCTCACTGCCTGCAGTATAGCTTGGGCTTTGCCAAATGCATCTTGTGATCAGCTGCCTAGGATTGAAGGTAGCCCAGTTCCACTTCAGATCAGGAGCTGCTCTAATGAATAGGAGCAGAGCAGTAGGAGAGACTCCTCAGTAAAGGTAGAGAAAGGGGAAGCCTGGAGTACTAGCACCTGGAAACAACTATTAAACGTGTACCTGGTTCTTCTCCTTGAAGCCTCCTATTTTGAACAATGGCAAGAAGCTGTTCTGCAGCTTGGTTCACACTCATGTACCGTGGTGATTCATAAATCTTCTTTCCTCTGTTAGAAAAAGACTAAAGTAATAACTACCTTGCCAAATAGTATTAAACCACAGAATACTAGGTTATTGTAATTCTCTCATTCCATTATCTCTATGGCACATTTCAGCTTTAACATAACCCATGTGGCTTAAGTAATCCATAGGCTTTGTGGTAGGCCTTGGGGGTTGGGGGTTTAGGGTGAATTTCAGCTGAATTGCAATCCCTGGGCTCCCTGCACACTTGTAAAGCAGCAGGGCATGATCTGGCTGATACTTTGCTATCTTAAGATTCAAGTGAGACTGCTGGAAACTATACAGGGTCTGCACTTTAGAAAAACAAAACTCAAATAATCCAATATATTTTCCCAACAATCATGTAGGCAGATAATTACAAAGCAGAAATATATTCAATTATTCTCAAACACATTTCAGCTAGTTTGCCAATTCTGGCTACATTCAAGCAAAGTTTATGAATGTGAGTCTAGGCCAAAAGTTACAGCATGTCTCGAAGCAACAGTTTATAGACCCAATTATAAAAAGGTGGTTTAGAAATGACAAACTTCTTTGAGACAGCTGCATGACCTTAGTTTAACTAACACTATTAAAAATATTTCTGTTTGGTGTTAAGAGAATGGAATGTCAATACTCCAAATGCAGTTTCTGGCCAGTGCACTGAGATGATTCAGAGCACTGTCTTGTTTTCAGCCGTTCATCTGCTTCAGGGAGAGAGACTATACTGTGCAAGATTGAACAATTATAAGACTTCATTCACTGAACAACCTCTTCTAGAAGGACCTAGTTAAGACAAAATGTTCTGTTTACTGAACACAATACCGAAAATTAGTGTGCAATTGCTGCAAACTAAGGGCTTGATCCCACTGAAATAAATGGCAAAAGTCCCATTTATTGCAGTGAATGCAGGACCATGCCTAAGTGCTTTATTTCATTACGAGCGAGCATCTAAGGAACGGGTGAGTGCAGCATTACTAAGTAACAGGAAGGATCTTCAATCAGTTTTCATTATAACATGCTGACAATATATTTATTTTCAAAATAGTGACTCACTTCATCAGGTTTTCCAGAGATTGCTCCTTTACTTTTATGTCTGCAGGATAAAAGTTATATTTATTAGACACAAATAAAGACATCAGAGGTACTGTAATCTTCTCACTCATCTTAATTATCTAAATGGGTAAGGGCTTAATTAGTAGTTTAAATTAGCAGGTCTTTTCTGCTTTTCGTATACCAATATTTTAGCTATTGTAGGAACTACAAATGAGGATTTCTAGCAAAGTAATATCCGCTCTATTCTGAGCTTCATATATTAGTTATGAAGAAAAACCCTTGTCCTTTCCTTTTATAAAGATGAAGTTTTACCTGGGATTGCATTACTTCTAGGATTCTAGTGCAAATAAGAACAATGTAAAACAGCCCTTAAAACAGTGCTTAAGTACTACAATGATGGGCACAGTTGTCATAGGATTGAAAAATCTCAAAATGATACTGTTCTAAAACATTTAATTATATAAGCTTCTGAAAGCCAGATGTATTGCACGCTTCATTCATAGATAGATTCTAGGTTCAGTTGCACCTCAGTAGTCGGAAGGTAAAGCAGCATAACTGAAGGACAGTATTCACTTTAACCACCACACAGGAACCCAATTCATTAGCAGTTCCTTCCTGCTATAATTTCTGGATATGTGTATTTTATATACAGAGCAACTCTGCAATTTTATGGAGTCTCAGGCATCTGCATTATCTCTGACAGGCACTCAAGTTCTACAATATGGAGCAGTGGACATTATATACTCAACAGCAGAATGTTTAGCTTGTACTGACTGTCACAATTTTTGACTTGGTGTTCAAATCTTAAGTGCATTACACTCAAATACATAGACAGGAGACTTACATCACTCATCTTAAATCTGTATTCAATGTGTAAAAAAGCTGTACAAAACCCGTAAAAGTTGGGGTATTTTTACAGTCTTAAAATAGCTGTTCAGAGTTTAGCATCAACTTCTGCCAAGGAAATTATGAGGAAAAGGTTTTTATAACAAGATCTGTGCATAACCTGGCCTTTTAACAAAAAATGTTGTGGGAACTACAGATACAATTTATCATAAGTTAAAGTTACAGTACTTCCAAATCAGAACCATATTCTAATAGCACTGTTTCTGTATTTTGCTTTTACTCATTCGTGAAATATCCTTTAATGTAATTTGACTAAACAATCAATTAAAATAGACCACAACCAAGTGGTATTAAAGGAACACTTATTTTGAAATTATCAGGTTTCAAATGTGACTTAAAATTAGATTTAAGTCCTATACCTGCCATGAATTCTCCTCCCCCCCCCCCTCCCCCAAACTTTGTGGTTTTGCAATGCTGCTATGTTAAAATCAACACAAAATGAGTAACGGTGCAAAGCATTAAGTGCTAACAGATGCAGAGTAAGTGAACCAAAAAAAAAGGGGGGGGGGGAATCTCCCTCCTATTTCCCTTCTTTAAGTTTGTTAACTTGTAATAATAGAACTTAAATTAAAGTTTCTTTAAAGTTACCAAAAATCTGATTTTAACCACCTCTGAAATCATTTCTGTGCATTTGGAAAGTCAGCCAAATGTGCAATGACACTTGTACATTTAAATTGTTTCCAGACTAAGGTTCTTCCAACGCCCACAGAATGCATGTTTTTACTTAAACTATGAATTTGTTAAGCACTGACAGCTCCCTCCTCAGCCCAAGAGACATGGAAATGGTCTTTCCTGAAGTGGTCACAAACCAAGGGCTCGAACCTGCACACTTTTAAGCATGTGTGTAATTTTATGCACACAAACAGGCCCATTGAAGCCAATGGGACTATTTATCATGTTATTAGAGTTATACACAGGCTTATGTGTTTCCAGCACTGGTGTTTAAGATTTGGATTTACAGGAGAGGGGTAAATAAAAAGATCAGACAAAACAATGTGAGCTACTGAGGAGGTTGCTAATTTAAAATCAGTCATCTGTTTTAGATCCTTGCTTTACAGTGTTTTTGTATATTACAATGTAACCTTGTCACTCTGTAAATGTCTTCAGACTAATGAATGTTATATTAGAAGATGAAAATCATTTAATCAAATACTACAAATTTGGCTAATACGACATGCCTCTTCCAAGATGAAGTGTATTAAGGTCTAAACAACTAAAGTAAAATGACACTTGCTAATTACTGCAACCTGATTTGGATCTTGAACAGGAGATACACTTGTCCTTCAACTCATGCTGCATTTTAACAGCATATGCAGATCTCTGATCCTTGTTGAATTCTATTGAAGCACAGGGTTTTATTGATTTCTCTACTCTTTAGAAATCGCAGGCCACAGTGAAACAAGATAGGGCTAGTAAAGCTATTCTAAATTCACATAAGCAATACACAAAGGATGCAATTTTTGGTATATTTTCTTCAATTAAAAACATTTTTCTTCTAAATTTATTACATTTATCACCATAGCCTCTGGATGTTGTACAAGAAAGTGATTACAGAACAAAGACAGATGACCCTTACCAAGTAAGCACAGCGTGTGCATTCCATTCTGCTTGTTCTTCTGAATCTTGTCAAAAAAGCTTTCTGGTTTCCACGTATCCGTCCAGAAAACTACAGAAACTGTTTCTCCAAAGTTGTACAACTTAAAAAAAACACACACACACAAGCAAAGAAGAAATTACTTAAGTGTGGATTACAAAGAGTTTCTATACATTAAATATTAGGAAATTAAGGTTTGACATAACTAAAAGCTAGGAAGTCTTGAGCGTGTTTAAGGAGGGAGCATCAGCTGGAACTAAGGCACCCTTATATAAAAGGGTATTTTCTAAATGATTTTGTTGCATGTGCAGGAAAGAATAAATTAATACCGCCTTTTAAAAAAGGTGTCCTGTTCTCCCCTTGCCGCACTGAAACTCCTTGGAATGGTCTAATGCATTAACAAGACTTTGTTTTTTCTTTGTATCTAAGCCTGGAACAAAGTTTCCCTCTCTGCTACGGAATAGGAGATTTACTACTGTTCTGTCACCCTCCAGGCAGCGATGCACGTTAGAGAATGAGTAGTGAGGCTGCCTGCTAAGGCTTGTATCCAGCTCTTTATTCTGGTCACCATTCTTCATTAACTTTCAATATTCCTTCTACACTTAAAAAGACCCAATCATGTAGTCCTTATTCAGGCAAAATTCCCAGTTAAGTCAAGGTGGACTGGGCCCTTTGGAAAGACTGAAGCAAAACTGTAGGTATCTGGTAGATTATTTCCTAAATCTATAAGGAAGCAGGTAGGCAGCCTCCAATAATGCGGTAGCATCTGCATTCCTGTGTAATGTTTCTACAAGCCTTGGGATAAAATATTCTTGTAATATTTGTATTAAAATAGTGCTCAGAGGATGTGTGTGCTATATATAAAGATGTTGTCCCTGTGCAAAAGAAGTTAGAATCCAATACCATAAGGATCAGAGGACAGGGGCTACAGACAGATATATTTTGTATGCGCGCGCACACACTCAATTCTAGAGACAGTGGCAATTTCATTCACTTGTCCCTCAGTCTTGCCATCATATATTGGCTGTCTTCCCACAGTAATGGGGAAGGTGGACCATGGGAGATATTTGATATAGTTCTGCAGATTAGTTCCAGATGGGCATTGTAAGGGGCAGCATAAAATAGAAATATTTTACTGAGATGTAATTAAATGCAGAATTTGGCCTGCAAATCTATTACTGGTGGTGATGCATACAAAGGAAATAACTCAACTTGGCTTTAAGGTCACAGGTTGAGTTTCAGGGCTGGGAGTTGGAAAACATATTTATGCATCTACACTAAGTTAATTTGATCTGGAAGGCAGCAGAGGCAATAAACACCAAATCCTGATCTGTTTACTGTCTCACCTCAAAAGGTAGAAACACATCTTCAAGACCCTGCCTTAGCCATGCTGTGGTCAGTGCAGGTCTAGGGTGGGACAACAAAGGTGGATTTGCAGCTCCCTGATATGGGGCCTTGTGGGGCCTGGCTCCAGCCCTGGCCACGTCCTCTTTTCTCTCTATCCCATGGCCACACACCCCAACTGCTCCCCTTACTTTAAATCCTACACCGAAGCAAAGGAAGGAGTGCAGTCCCCCCTGTCTGCTAGAAGCAGATGAAAGTCCCTCCTCCTATCCCAGGCTTGGAAGAGCATCTCTTAACTCCCCAACTATTTCTTCTCTGCCACCCTTCCCTGGCTCCTAGCTACAGGCGGCAGACAAGAAAGTTAAATAGATTGAAATTGGGGGGGGTGTGCGCGCAGAGCTCTTTTCAAGCCTGGGACAGGAGGAGGAATTCCCATCTGCTTTTAGCAGAGAAGTGGGAGCTGCACTCCATCCTCTGCTACCCTTTCTTTAAATCTTACACAAAAGACATGGTGGTTCTATGCCATCTGGGGATTTCCCTCTGGCCATTTAAGCCATGAACACAGATCCTTTGCACTGCCAGAGC